TTTAGGGGTTTAGGGTTTAGGGTTTAAGTTTAGGGGTTTAGGGGTTTAGGGGTTTAGGGGTTTAGGGAATAGGGGTTTACGGGTTAGGGTTTAGGGTCAGGATTTAGGGCCTCCGGCCCCCTGAACCCTAAACGCTTAGGCTTTCCTAGACCCCCCAACTACCCTCTAATATACCCTCAATACCCACTGTTAAGGACCATAAGGGCTCTATTAAAGGGTCCTTGGGGGGTCCTGGTTGTAAGGGTTTAGGCTTAGGGTTTTAGGATTTCCGGTTTTGGGACTTCGGCTTTCTTTTGGTGAGGGTTGGGGAGTTCGGTTTCGGGCCTGACGTTTCCAGACTGAGGGTTGGGCCTGAGGTTTAAGGGACGGCATGCCTGCTACAGGGGCCTTCATAATTTGAACCGAGTTTGGGGCATATTGTACTACAATTGTTTAAAGTTTAAAATAAGGACCCCCCAAAAAACAGGCCCTCCAAAAACAGGCCTTGGCTTTAGGGTTTGGAGTTTAGGGTTTAGGATGCCTGATATAGGGGCCTGAATAATTAGAGTAGGGTTTGGGGTATATCATACTATAACTATAAGAAGGAACCCCCCCAAACCCCATTCGAATGATCAAGGCCTAAACCCTAAACCCTAAACCCTAAACCCTAAACCGACAGGCCTTGGCTTAAGTGTTCAGGGTTTAGGGTTAAGGAAGAACAGGCTGAGCCAGAGAAGGGAGGCCGGAACACTAGAAACCCTAGCAAGTGAATTTATAGGGTTTAAGGTTTAGGGTTTAGGGTTTAGGGTTATAGCCCCACATGGCTCCCGAATACCCTCATGCAGATAACCTCAAAACTCACGCAGAACCCCAAACTCCATAATATTTAGGGTGCGTGTGTTGCTGCCGAGTGCCTGAACCCGAAAACTTGAACCCTGATCTATCTGCTAGTTTTCTGGAGAAGGAAGTGGCCATGGATTTGGCCGTCGAGGCCATCTGCACCCGCCCGCCACGTGATTGGGGCCCTGCACTACTTGGAGGTTCACGGGTAGTTATAAGTGGGCTTGTAAGTCGGGAAAATGTAGTTATAACCCATATTAGGGACTTCTAACCCAATTTGTAACTACCGATGTGCTGCGCTGGCACAACATGCCGAGGCAGCCTGACGGGTGGACACAGGAGAACATCCAGGCTTCGCAGCGGCCAAATCACGAAAGAGGCAGCTGGCATGCAGGCGCTTGGCGCCCTGGCTGCTCGCAAAAGCAAGTTGTTGTGTCAGGAGTATCGAAAAGCGGCTGAAGAAGCTGCCAGAGTGTGAGCCATGAACCTCCAGGTACAGCGTCTCCGCAAAGTTGGCGTGAACAACGTGTTGACTCCCATGGCGGAGCACTGTAGCCTTATGTTTGAGGTTTGAGGTTTAGGGTTTAGGGATTCTCTGAAAGATTGCGTGGCACGTCATATCACTTCAATGACTGTCAGTGAGAGTGAATGAGCGATAGTGGATGAGCGATAGGATACCGCACTGGGGTCATGGAAGTGTTTAGACCGAACTTAGAATCTACGATGTGTTTCCGCCTTCTGGGAGTAATACAAGGGGTCGGAATCAGTACCCACACAATTCCTCGAACTTAAACCCTAAACCTGAACCCTAAACCCTAAACCCTGAACCCTAAACCCTAAACTCATACATATCCATATCTCACGATCCTCTAAGCCGTGGCAGCCCCTTATAGATGCCTAAAGGAACCCTTTAAGGAATCCTTTAGGGGTCTAAGGGTCTTAGGGTTTAAAGGTCTTAGGGTTTAGGGGCTTAGGGGTTTAGGGGTTTAGGGTTTAGGGGCTTAGGGGTTTAGAGTTTAGGGTTTAGGGTTCCTCGATCCTTGGAGTTGAAGTTTTCTGGCCAGCCTCAAGCAAAGGTCGCGGGAGCTGCTGGGCATCTGTCTGAAGAAGATTCGAGGCTGGGTGCGTTGGGGATTTGGGGTTTAGGGCTTAGGAATCATTGCGGAAATTTAGGATTTAACCGTTGAGCGTTAAGGATATAGGGTGCACCAGCCTTGCCTATAAACCGTTGAGCACGGTTGAAATTATTGGTGCCTGTCTCAGCTGGCCCGCCTTGACGCCCAGGTTTGTGCACCTAAGCCCTCAAGCGCATCATGCTCGGTTTACGCTTGATGATTTAGGAAATTTAGGGCGTAGTTGATATACTGACTTGCGGGATGAAGCCAACAGCGGGTTCCCACCAACACGCTAAGTTCCTTGAGCTGAGCCTGTCGCTGGCTCCGTTTCAACACGCCAAGCCCAAGGCTCAACTACATCGGGAACCTTAACCCTAAACCCTAAAGCCTAAACTCCTAACTCCTAAGCCCTAAACCCTCAACTCCTAAACCCTAAACTCCTAAACCCTAAACTCCTAAACCCTAAACCCTAAACTACTTAGACCGGTACTCCTAAACCGGATGTTCCGCCTCGAAGGACAGCCGCCAACCTTAAGTAACTCCACACCAGCCGATTCCTCTGCTTCATGGAGGTTTCATGGGTAGTTATAAGTGGGGATAGAAGTATGGTCACTACAATTACATTTTACAGCCCTATTAGGGGACTTATAACCGCTTACAATTATGACTAACTAACCTTAGCCCTAAGCCCTGAAACCCTCCACCCGGTAGACCTTATGGAAGCCTACACCCCCAACCCTAAACCCCAAACCACATTAAGAAAAACCGTAAGCCCTAAACCCTAAACCCTCAACCCCTTGCACCCAGTTTGGGCCTGAAAAGCAGGACGGCCAAACTTGGTGGCTGGACTGATGAAAATTCTGAAGATGGTGACGAGCCAGTTGGGACCATCAGGGGGATAATTGAAAACCCTTCCAAGTTTGGGACAATGGTGGATGAGGGTGCCCTGGCACAGGTATTCAAATGCCGATTCTGGATGTGGCACTATGAATCTCGAACCCCGAAACCGACGGTTTTGTGGTCCGCAAGCCGGGCCATCACAAAGTTCTGGGTGGGGAAACTGAAGCGTGCCCAGGTCAAAGCCGAGCAGCCGAAGCGGAACCCGGACAAGCGTGGCCCGCCAGTCAACCGTATCCACCTGTCCGACATAGAGGGTACGACCCTGGGATACCGCTGGTCGAGCCTGGGACGTCTGGCAGAGTTCAATCCTCTTCAGCTGGAAAGCAGTCTTCAATGCCCCAGTCTATGTTTAAGCTGGCATCATCTCTTGGCCACCTAAACCCTAAACCCTAAACCCTACACCCAGAGCCGGGAGAGCTGGTTGAGTGCCCTATCTTTGGAAAACGGAGTGCTGGAGGCTAGGGTTTAGGGTTTAGGGTTCACAGGGATTGGGTCAGACTTGCTGACGAATGAGGAGGTCAGTCACATGGCTGAGTTGGCAGTGCGTGATCTACACGGCATGTGCAAAGGCATGCCGGGATTCAACGTGAAGTGGCACCGACAACCTGAGCCTGAAGTTCGGTTAATGCGTGTCATCTTGCACTGCTACTTGGCATTGTACGCTGGCGTACTTGGACCTTCCATGATGGAGAGATTGATGTTGTTGGGGTTTAGGGTGTGGGGTTAGAAGTGGGGTCACTACAACTATATCTTACAGCCCTGTTAGGGGACTTATAGCACCACTTACAATTGTAACTAACCTTAACCCTAAGCCCCGAAACCCTCCAACCCTAAACCTCAAACTCCATTAATTAAGAAAAACCCCAAACCCTAAACTCTAGACCCTAAACCCTAAACCCTAAACCCTAGACCCTACACCCTAAACCCTCAACCCCTAAACCCTAAACCCTAAACCCTAAACCCTAAACCCAGGGTAACATG